GATGAACTGGGGTTAGAAGTTAGATGAGTTTTCCCTTTGAAAGGCATTGAACATCAATGCCAGCAGAGCAGGGGGGTGGTGCCTACTCCACTGCCCGCTGTGTTTTGGTCTCAGGCGAGCTGGCTGTGCCGAGGGGTGCAAGACAGATATGGGGCCAGGTGGACAAGCCCACGAGCGCTGAGCCCAGCCCTTCGTCTTGCTGTAGGCATCAGTGGTGGGACTCCCACAGCATATGGACTCTGCTTCAGCTGCTGGCTTCATAGGCCAGCCCAGGTCTATGAGGTGACTTTCCCTCTTCTTTGTTTTTGTGAGCATATAAAAGGCTTCCCTTTGCTTTCCTCTGATCTTTCCCAGGGATTGTGCCAGCACACAGCTCCCGTCCCACACAACCTCTAACAATGGGGATAACACGATAGGACACAGCCATCTTGCTGAGACAGATGCAAGGGCACTGTGCCTCAGGTTCCCAGAACCACCGGGAGCATCTCGGGGTGGCTGGATGACTTGCTTCTGGCTGATGAACCTGCTGCTCCTCTTTTGCACTGCTCATAGCAATCCAGAAGCTTAGCCAAAGGTCTGTTTACATGCATAAACTGAAGTCTCCTGCATAGGGCCCACGTGGAAAGCCATTCCCTACCTTTCCCTTCCCATTCTGGCCAGGAGCCCACCCCTCTCTGCTGCTCCGGGCACCGTGCCGCTCTCCCCCGCAGCTCCTCTCTCCTGGGCAGGCTGCCTCTGCCACGTGCCAGTGTGCTCCCTCAGTACATTTCCAGCCAAATACTTGCAGAGGCCTTGAGACAGCGAAGACAATGAGTGGGACTCCCACTGGACACCTGGACTGTGGTTATCAGTGGAGTGAGGAGTTAGACTTTTGCCCAAAATGGAGCTACTTCAGGAAGAGGGTGAGACACTCACCATCCATGCTCCCCACCGTGGACACACATGCCCACAGGCACACACAGCCGTACCCTACACACAGGAGATTGCATTCCCGCTCTGCAAAGGGGAAGAAGAGGCTGGAGAACTGCATGTGAGCTCTGTACTGAGCTGCAGGCTCTTGCATAGAGAGGTATTTTGGTACCACCACCCTTTACCATGCGCAGCAGGAATAACGAGTCCATCAGTCCTCATGTCTCACACAGCTGCTGAACTTCCAGAAGAGCGGGTGCACGGCCGAGCAGGACAGACATAAGGACACAAGCGCTGCCATGACTCTTTCCCGAACCCCTGGGATGGCAGGAAGTGTTGTGTGTCTGTGCAGTGTTGTAGGATAAAGACTCCTCTTCGGCAAGGATGCAAAGGAGGGGAACATGCTCTAACTCTTATCTAAGGCAAGGGCCCAGGCTGCTGCACCTGTTTGAAGTGAGGAGGCGTTTTGCTTTGTGAAGAAGTGGTGAAGGACAGTTATGAAAGATGTTAGATGGACAGTTCATCTCCAAGCATGTTTTAACAACAGTGACCCCTCCATGGACAGGAGGTTGCTAACCTGCCTGTTCACGGGGCTTTCCCATGGCCAGCCTTGCCTGGCTCCTGCTGGCAAACCAGGACAGGCTCCAGTGCAGGAAGTGCAGCTGACAAGTTTAACTCTGTTTTCAGGTTGAAATCTTACAATTCTTCAATTACTGCGGAAGCACAGAACCATAGGACAAAATCTGGTTTGATTCATAACGAAGGTGAGCTCAGCTTAGGTTTAAAAAAACCCTGCAGCCAGAGGCAGAGAAACCACGGCCATTTCAAGGTGGGGCCATCTAATCCTCTGTAATCATCAAAAGCATTAGGCTAAAGACTGACACAATTCACTTTTAGTCCCTTGTTAAAAGCAACCTTTGCATAAAACCCTTCATTGTACACCGGTGCTAGAAGCGGCAGAGAGCGTACATCACAGACATGCGGCACAGCATCTCTGTTTGCATCCCATGTCCCCCCTTTCCTCGGTGTGTGCAGACCAGCAGGCATCGAATGCCCCAACACACACGGTGCCAAGGTCAAGAAGGGTTTCATCTCGTGCGGGGAGCCCAGTGCCCACCTCAGGGCACATGCTCTGCTCTGGGCAGCAGTCACTGGAGCACCGCACCTGCCATGTTTTGGGGCACAACATGGCTCCCCACAGATGTCACTCACTATCCAGGTCATTTGCCGCAGGCACTTCCCCGCTATGCCCACTGGAAGGGCTCAGAGACCTGCTTGTCATTGCTGCCCGATGGCTTTGCAGAGCACTCGATTAACCAAAAACCTTTTTGGGGAAAAAAATCCCAAGCACGACTGATTCTTTATAACCATCTTTCAATAAGTGAGTATAGACCTCTCACATATCCTTAAATTATATATCATTTATTGAAATATAGAGATCTTAATTTACAGGATTTTTTCAAAAACAAAATATCGACAGGGGCATTTTTGAAATACATTTTGTGCCTACCATCACTCAGGCCAGTTTGCCCTTCTTCAAACATTTCACAACAGCCACCATTTTGGAAACACTTCCTTTTTTATTATTCTAAAATATAACTTTTGGACATTCAAAGTGCAACAGTTAACGTGCCTGTGGAATATATCACAGTAAAAAAAATATAAACAAAGGCAGTGATATAGCTGTCATAAATGTTTTGGCAGTATTCTAGAAGTCTATATAAAAATACTTATATACATATTGATGTATAACATCACCATATCTCACGTCCTTCATCATGTAATAGGACCATTTTGTACAAGTTGCAGACCACGCTGTAAGGAATTGGTTGGCCATTCCAAATCAAAAGCTGTGTTTCGTAGGCTAACGCTGATTGTCGTTATACAATTACTGTAGTGAAAGGTTTGGGAATATCTCTTCCAGTGGCTTCTCAAAAATTAAGCCATAAAAGAAAAAGTCTGTAATACTGATAATATTGTAAAACTAAACGAATCATCCTTTCACACTTCTCCCTCTCTGGTAAATCCCCTCTCTTCCTCTGTTTCTCATTCCAGTTTCCAGGCCAGCTTATCTGATTCCAAGCCTGCAGTGAGCTGGGTTTGGCTAGACCCCTGCCACGGATGTAGTTCATCTACACGATACTCGTGACGAGATGGAGAATCAACATTACCATGCATGGGAAAGTGAGCCAGCTCTGGTTCACGTCCACCATTTGGGCCTAGCCCCAAGATGCGCTGTGAGATACAGAATGAAACCGGTGAGGGGAAGGGGAGACTGCATGAAAATGTCCTTAGATTCCAGTAACTGGTATAATAAAACTTGCTGGGGCTGATTTTCAAACCCTGAAGAACACTAGGCCATGTGCAAAAATGCAGGTGAAATTGCTTGCCTAATTTGAATGTGTAGTCGTAATGACTACACATGCAAATGAAGGCACGTGTGGTCTCAAGTGGCCATTCAGATATCTGGGATATCCAATAGACAATTTGTGTTTCCTCAATTCTTAGTTCATAGCTGGAGGGAGACTTTATGTCGTCTCATCTGTCCTAGCTATATCAAGAGTCTTTATGTTTCACAGTTGTCCCCGTACAGAGCTCAGTGACATGTGTTTGGCTAAAGCACAGCTCCCAGGAAGACACTCGGTCTTGATCTGTTGACTGCAAGAAATGGAGGATGCACCATCACCCACGGTTCCTTCTGATTGTCAGCCTCCATCAGGGTTGAAAATGTGGGTGCCTCGATTCAGGTCCTGTTTTCACATCTGCAGTATGCTTGTACGTGGCCTCAGCCAGGCGACATTTTGAAACCCAGACCCAGATTTATTTGCCTGTAACACTGACAACATTACATTTGCTTTCATTTGATCCACAACTGTTCACAACAAGTGAAGTCAAGGGGACTTGTGTAGCTTTTCTTAGGGACATTTCAAGTTAAACTGTAGTTTAACACGGCAGCATGTTCTGTCCGTCACTGCTGGTCCATCTTTCACACTTCCTAGGAAAAATACTGCAACACAGGGATGAGTTTGCACTGCATTTGCATTGGTTGTGTCGTGCCAGAGGCTGAGCATGTCCTGCAAGGCGCTCATCACACTGAATTAAGGTTAAGTTTGAAAGTTGAGCACCAGAAAGGATGGGGCCCTTCGCAGTGATGTACCTTTTTTCACATGTAAGTCTTCCAAAGCATCATATCTCAATAACACTTTGTACAGTGATAGTAGTAATCATAATACTTTGTTCATATAAGTGGTGTCAAAAAACAGCTGTTGCAGGCTGAGAGCAGGTTCATTTTCATGCACCGTCTTCTGAAAAACACTGTTGGAAGCAATTACCGTTTGTCGTTACAGTCTGCAAAGATAATAGTCAGAGTTTTCTGTTCCTGTTTAAACCTGAAAACTAAGACAAGAATATTTGCTGCAGAATTATTTCTGCTTATTTAATCTGGAGTTCCAGGCTGGGAGAGATGTCTTTGTTCCTTGAGCACTTCAAATCTCAAATCAATTCTTCACAGCTAACCCCAGGATAAGATTTCTTTTGAGTACCCATGAAACACTAATAATGGCATGTTGCTGGTGGTTTATCATAATCTTCCATTCTTGAGCATGTTGGAAATCTGGCATAAATTAATTTTTTTTTAAATTAAATTTTTAGAACCTCACTTAATCAGAGGACGATAATTGCTTCTAGTATATCTGATTAGAAAAACTACTCAGCTCATGATGGAAAACTAAATCTTAAATTTTTCTCCATGTGAAAGTAGTTTTAACTAACCAGAGCAGTTACCATACTGTGTACAGCCAAATAAAAGAATTGTTTCATAAAACTTTTCAGGTCATAAAGTTTTTCCTTGGAATTAAAAAAGTTTCTTGAGACTGTGCTTTTACTGAAGGACAATGAATTATAAAATATACATTTAGTGTTACTGAAAACAGTAGTAGTATCTTGAAAACAGCTACCTTCTATAGTTAATAAAGACTTACTAGGTTTCTAACACCTATTATAGACTGGTTTTTAATTATTATTATTATTATTATTATTATTCCCCTTTACTTGCATTAATGGTAAAAAGTAACATGTTTGTAGTACCTTTACTTGCAATAATGGTAAAAAGTAACATGTTTGTAGTACCGGTCAGTCCCTTGTGGTTTTAGACCTTTTTGTTCCAAAAGTGGTTTTTGCGTGTTCTTCAATTCACATGATAGTTCAACAGCAGCTGACATTGAGATTGAGGGAAGAAGTACACAAAATTCATGAACGATTTCTTCTAAAATCCATGGCATATGTTCAATGTGCACCTCAAAAGATCCTTGAGTAGACAGTTATTTACATAATTACAATGGTTGAAGTATTGCTGCAGTGGAAATTCGATCCATCAAAGTCATATGAATGCCCTTGAAACACAAAACTGGTCTGTTTGTGGCCTTTTCCTTCATCCTCCTACCAGTTCAAATGGCAAACAACACTGAGATGCTACTGAAGTACTGCAAGAAACAACACTAAAAAAATCCGTCTTCAACATATCTCTTTCATTCATGCTCAGGCTGATTCCTCTGCCCATCGCTGGGAGTTTCTCTGTACAAATCCACCTCCTTTTCACATCCTTGACATTGCAATAAAGTGGTTTTCTCTGTGGAGCGTAAGTCTGTAGACGACACAGCAAGCTTCCCCGTGTGCAGAGCTGGAAGGTGTCCATCGGGTTACAGGAAGCTGTCCTCCACCAGGTCTGAGGAGTCGATCCCAATGTCATCCATCATGTCAATGTCCTCAATGGTCTCGTCCTCTCTCTTGATAAAAGTAGAGCTACTGGAACCAGTTTCAATGGCACTTTCTTCAGATGTCTGGGAACTGGAAGAGATAAACATCTCAGAGATAAAATACAAGGTGAATGTGGCTGGGTAAGTACTCCAGTCTCTAGCAGAACTGAACACCACCTCCCCACATGCTTTCTGACCCACAGCGCAATCTTAGGTGACTCTGACCATCCGTTTCTTAGGACATGACACATCTTGTATCTCAAGAGTAATGAACCACCTTGGAATTCAAAGGAGCGGGTTGTTCATATGTTCCTCCATGCACTTTCTGCCAGACACTCGTTAGAGAAATAGCTTTATGACACTGCTGTGACAATAGGTCACTTAAGTAAATCTAGGGAGGTCAGGTGAAAATAAGATAACAATAACAGACAATAAGATAATAATAAGAATAACAGAGAGTGGTAATAAATCTTAATCTGGGTAGTGCTTCTTAGGCACTTCATTCATTCATGCACCTCTTGAAAATAGTGCAAAAATATCAAAAAAAGAAGTTTCTAGGTTGCTAATTCTATATACTATGAATTAAATGCTGAATTAAAACCTCACCATTCACAGTAAGGGTTAATCTGTTGTGCTGTAGTGGAATCAGTCATGCAAACTGACAAGGGAGCAGTAAAAAGTCCTGGATACCCTGCTGTCGATGAAAAGAATACTATGGAAGATATTAAAAACAACTTCTCCCAAATTTTGGAGCTGGTCTCACACAGAACAAATCAATCTCTTGAGATCTCATATGCAGCTCCAAGGCATTGAGCTGTAGGGACAAGATGTGTTGCAAAATGGGCCCGCAGAGCCACCAGACAGCTGCTGAGACCTGTCCAAGCTAACAAAGGAGTCCCAGTGACACACAGGAGCACCCTACCAGCAGGGCCCTTCCCCTGGCAGTCACAAAAGAGGCAAAATTAGGTTTTTCCCACTGAAAACACTGTGGCCAGTCATACTACCATATTTACATGGGACCTTCCCAATAAGTAGTTTCAACAGAGCTAAGGAAACCATTTGCGGAGTAGGATGCTAAAAAGTGTTAATGCATATTGCCAAACATGACCCCGAATGGTGACTTCGGGCTACATGATCTGTAAACCTCACTTACCTGTGCCTGTTCCTTTTGCCAAGCTCATCTTCAGAAACAGGGTCAATGTCTGGCAGGGGGATGATGTACCCGCTGTCAGCACTCAGCCTCTGCTCATCAAATCCGCTCTCCCTGTCCTTTAACTTGTCTTCATTCTTGTAGGTGACACCAATGTAAGCGTTGTCACAGTCCCCTCTCATGCGTGTGACAGCTGGGTGATCACTTTTCAGGAAGTCCAGGTGAATCTTCTCATAGCTCTGAAAATATTCATTTCAAACTTTCACTAAGGCTGCCTTTCTTCAGATGGGTAGCTGTGATTCATTAACCCAGCAAATATTCTGCCCTATGAGCTAGCAACGCTGGATAGAGAAGCCCAGCATCTTCAAATGATTTGAAGGGAGAAGCAACACATAAGTTTTACATGATGCAGGAGTGAGTGTGGCAGCACAGAGCAGACAAATAGATGTGAAAGAGGGGTAGGGAGAGGGAGAAGGGAGTGAAGGTAGGTGGGAAAATGAAACACTGAACGATGGGGCAGGCAGAGCTTGTCCAGAGTTATCGGAAGTATGAAGGGAAAACTTGCTGGTGTCAGGGTCCAAAGAGGGAGATAGGGAGATTATACACGTTGGCCAAGTAGTCCCTTTTCTAGAATTCTTTCACCACCTAGAAAATCCTGTGAAAATATATGAAACCCATTCTCCAGCAGAAAAATTGAGTTGGTAGGACTTCATTAGAAATGGAGGGTTCTGCTTCCCAGCTAACACTGCAGAACTGCTTCCCTCGCTAAGCTTGCATGCAGAAACCGAACACGCAATGTCCCTGTCCAAATCACGTAATTCACTTAGGTTAGGATGTGCCAGTTCAGTGCTCATGGCTCTGATGGCTGGAACAACACTTATAATTCCCTCTAAAACAGTATATAGAAAACACAGAGAAAATTCCAAAGAGCAAACCTTTTTGTACTCTCCAGGCAACAAGCTCTCCACAATTTCACTCAAATGGTAAAAAGAAGGTCTTTTCTCTGGTTCACTGTTCCAGCACTTCACCATGATCTCATACCTGCAGATAAGATGGAAACAAGTTTAACCAACTGACAAAGGAATAAAGAATAAGAAAATAAGTAATCAAACAGAAACTAAAGCCAAAAGTGTCTGGAGACTGGCCAGGTGTCGAAAAGCCCATATAAGCACACATACACTTCATTGGTAGCATGATCGGGTTTGGCCATTCGGTATCCACTCTTGATCTTATTGTAGAAAGTAGAATCGACCATCATGCCAGGATATGGTGTGCCACCTGCAGATAAAAGAGAAGAAAAAATACTACTCTATACTTGACTATCCAGCACTTTAAGTTCCCAAATTCTGTCTTGCTGTTCATGTCAAAAAGTGTTAATGCTATAATTTGACACGCCATCAAAATTAATCTTTCCTAGCCAATGTTTCACATCAGAGCTATTGTCTTGACCACATTACGCCCTGATGTGAAATGTTGGCTAAGAAAGATTGAAGTTGGTACTACTTAGAAAAAAATCCCTTTGCAGTGTTTATAGAATGTATTGACTGGGCACAGAGGTTGGATGATACCTGGATCAGGTCATTGGCCTGCATTTGGCAGATCTGAGGTCATGTCTCTGCTTTGCCACTGACTTTCTGTGTGACCTTAGGCAAGTCACTTGCTCTGTCTGGTTTTATTGCCTTTGGCACCTGCATGACAGCTAGGAGTGACGCAGCCCGAGTTACTCGCCTCATCCTTGCTGTAAGGGCAAAGCCTCAGGGTAAGCCAGTCCCCTCCATACACAAGTCTTCCCACCTAGGCAGCTGGCATGTCAGGTGCATGGGCTGTTGAAGAGTTCGGACTCGGCCCCTGAGCTGACGCAGTTAAGCTATCATTTGGGGCCACAGCATATAGACAATGCTGATGTGTAAAATGATCATTCAAGCTGAAGTCAGTGTTGCAGCAAGATGTCAAAGTTGACTTTCTTAATAAATGCCGCTGAGGATATGTTTTGCTTTCTGAAAAACATCATCTTTCTCAGGTGGAGGAGGCGTATTATAATATTTACACCAGAAACCACAGCCCTTTCAAAAGTAGGATTTTCACCTAAAACTGGGCTTCAGGACCTTCCTTATAGGTAGGGCAGTGAAGCACAGGCTTAGCTGTGCCTCAGTTCCTGAGCTATCCAACAGCACGCCCATGCCTTCCAGGGATGCTGGTGAATGGATATTTACAGGATGCTATGATGCCCAGAGATTGCAGTAATCAATACCATAAATAGTGGCACAACTGCTGTTTTCTGAGAAATAGCTATATGACAACTTATTCTAGAAAATAACATTAGGCTTGGGGTTGCCGTGGGGCAGTAGTAGATACCGTACAGGCGTGATTCATTCTGCTCAGAGTAAATCTGGGCAACGCACGTTTACTGAAGCAGGCCAGCCACCCGCCCGGGAGGCTAATTAATCAGGCTGAGGAAAGAGCCAGGCTGTTCCCAGCTGGGAACTGCACATTGTCTGTAACTGCTATACATTGTCATAACCACTTTAGGCTGCCATAAACCAACTGTGTGAACAGAGCTGACCTGGAAATGAGAAATCAGCATCCCAGAAGACTGACATTTGTTTTCATTCTGTAATGGGACTAAGATGGGATCTTTTGAAAAGTATATGAAGAGACTGTTTCAAACCAGCCGCTGGGCTGGCTTGCAGCCCCAGGCACCCCATTGCAAGGGGGAAGCATGTTCCTTCTCGTATTAGCCAGAAAATCCATCCTGAGCCAGCACGCCAATACTTTTCCACAAAAGCTTTTCCAAAAGCTTTTCACTCAGTGCTTTCAGTTTTCTAGCAAAAAAAAAAGTATCTTGGGGGGAAAAAAAAATCTAAGGAGAACTTTGGGAGAGTATGGACGTTTTACTTCACACCTAACGTTGGGATCCGAAACCCCATATAGAAGAATAACTAACAGTTGATTTCACACATATATTTTTACTGCAGAATTTGAAATACTTTATGTAGAACAGCTTGAACTGAAAAAGCTTACTCACTACACATAAGAACATGTTCACAGTACATACCAAGAGAAAATATTTCCCACAGCAGAATGCCATAAGACCAGACATCACTTAATGTTGTGTACAGATTGTCAAAAATGCTTTCAGGTGCCATCCATTTTACTGGGAGGAAAGTCTGCAGCAAAAAGAAAGAAACCCCAAACCACACAGCTTAGTCATTAAAGAAATGCTTCCCATTACAACAGTTGCTTGATAGCCAGGATTAACTCCTCTCTAACAAGAAAAGTTGTGTTAACCTGGCTAGTGTTTATTTTTAATTCCATATAACACAGAGGTACCAGGATTATAAGGAATGCTACTACTTGCTCCCCACAAAAACTAATTAAGCCATAACTGTATCCATTTTATTACTAGCAAAAGACCAGGCTAATTGAAGGTATGATACAAAAGCTGGCACTGCCAATCTAGGTCTGATACGTCGTTGACTAATGTGTCACTACTCTACATATCACAGTGACAGTTCCTTAATAATTTATTCAGTCACAAAACTTGCCAGTTAAAATGTAAGCCTGTGAAGTACTAAGTGTGGCCAAGTACTCTTCAGCTTTAAAGTAGAATTAGGAAAGTTACAGGAATTAATGAACTGAAGAAAAATTGTTCTTAGGAGCGATCATCCCAATGGTCAATTAGTGTAACCAACACTGAATGGCAAGAACATTAAACAGCATTTAAAACTGACACTTCTCATTTCAGTTAAAGCAGAGCTCAGGAGATTAAGAAGTACATACGCTGCCCTTGGAGACATAGTTGGAATCATGCATGATGTCTCTAGCCAGCCCAAAGTCACAGATCTTCACAATTTTTCCTTGAGCCAGGAGGACATTACGAGCTGCCAAGTCACGGTGCACACACTGTATGGAGAGAAATTAAATTGTTCAAGGATGTGCTGATTCCACGAGGACCATTTCCCTTGCAAAGATCCCTGAAAAAGATCTGTTGACTTTCTGGGCACAGTCTTAACAAGACCTTCTACTGAACAGGCACCTGTATTGCCCCGCTAACAAGGGCAAGGAGGCACCAGTCCCCAGAGCCAGCAGGGGCTCATGCGGATGCTCTGCAATGGGGAGGAGACAAGAGCGATGCCACCCTTTCCCCTTCTACCCATCATGTGCTAATGATACATCTATGTTTCTGACCATGCCGGCCTGTGGCTGTATGGACTCTCCACCCAGACGCTGCCCACCGTCTCTGGCACTCTGACTCCATGAATGTTGCAGGCTGCAATGGGAAAGGAGGACTGACTGCTGCTTTGATTTTTCCAACCATGGTGATCTCAGTTTCCAGGTAAGTGAGAAAGCTGTCTACAACCCCAAAAATAATATTACGTTGTGTCATGTCTTCAGAATCTAAATTGAAACCCATAGCTGGACATGAAGACATTTTTACACTTTCTTACATTTTACTTACTTTTTTATTTACTTACATTTTTAGAAGCCAAGAATTCCATTCCCCGGGCAACCTGGTAGGTGAAGCTCAGCAAATCCAGTAGGCTGAGGCCCTCCGAACTGTCATCTGAAAGAAGGTTTTTGACTTCCGATTCTATTGAAAAAGAGAGCAAAATATGTTTGTGCTGTGGAGTGCGAAAGCAGCATACATTTCCCCCTACTTATCATGATTCTGAGCTGATGACTTTAACAGAGTACCATGACCAAACCAGTCTTTTCATAATAGCTAACCACGTTTAATGTCTGCATCAGTCACTGACACATACTGCATTCTCAAAACCATCCAGTATTAAATATAGGTTTTGGGTTTTCTCCTGTCTGTATTTTTTTCCCCGGACAACTGCAGGAAAAGGTGAAGTTAAAAAGGCCCACTGAAGTGTTATACAGGTTGTTTACGATACCCAGCATGTGGTACAAAAACATTTATTTAGAGATGGTGCCTTCATTAGGTTTCTGTGCATGCATGTACATTCTTATCCATTTTCTTGTGCTGAACACTGTTATGTTTCCCAGGAAGTATTCACTGGGACTAATCCAACGCCAGCAAAAAGGGTCAGGAATTCTATGGCAACAGCTCTTATTTTTTTATGAAAGATGTCAGAAGAAAAAACAGTCAAAATTCAATGATCCATTTACCCTGACTGTCCTAGAGCACAATATGAGTACATTAGTCTGCCATGTAAATCTGGGACTGGATATGGTTCAGTTTCTGAGGACTAGAGGCAGAAGTGACGGTGCCTATTTTTAAAGCAAAGCATATTTGGTTCCTGAGAACAGAGCCAGGGAATGGGATGCATTCATTATCTTCATTACATAATCCAGGAAAGTATTTGGGAGTGTTCTGCATTTGGTAAGTGTCAGTTAAGGTGAAATGCAAGTGGAAACAGAGTAACATAAATTACTATTATTATTGTTCATTGCTATTGCTCAAAATCTTGCAAACTGCAAGACTAATAAAACCACTGTCTCCAAAGTGTCCCTACAGCCCCGTTGCAGAGCACAGCTGCTCAGCACTTCAGCATGGAAGCAAATACACAACTGGACCCCTTCTGCTCCAGGAGCATGCACTCCTCTCCCCAGAGCATAATGAAGATCACAGGCATAAGCTTTTAGCTTACAGCTTATACTCACATGCTTACAGAACACAGCTGAGTCGTTTATGTCCATATCATAGAGGGCAAAAATAAGATACACGTTTATGCAAGAATTATTTGTATTAATGATGTATGCAGAAGGGACAATTCTACATTACCTGACATAGATTTCTTCTTATATGAAGCAGGCCGATCATACACAGATCTCTGAATATCAGAGTATTTAGATCCCTCCTTCCTTTCCAGCATTGGCACATACTGAGTGGTATCAGCTTGTTTCATGTCCATATATTCTCCAGTGTTTTCAAATGATAATATCACATAACTGAAATTGGGAAAAAATACAGACATATCAGCTAGTATTGCCCAGGTGACTTTGCTGCCACGGCATCCTCTAGATCTAACAGTTCTCTTATGGTGTACAGCTGTATTGCTGTGAAATATAAGAGTGTAAGAACTGACTTCTTGATAGAGAATACGTAAAGATTATATATTACAACATAGCCATGTATTACCACATATTAGTACATGTTACCATATATCACTGTAGTCAAACACAAGTGCTTCAAACTTATCCTTTTGTCAACAATCAAGGATGTGAACATATGTTGTCTAACTTCCCAAAATCCCACTGAATTCAGCCATTACTACTTAGGGCTTTTATTTCAAGGTATTCCAAATGATAGGTGTAATTTATTCACCCAAACAGTTTGCATCAAATCCAGTCCTGCTGAGCAAACCCATGCTCAGATGAATAGTCCTGGCTGTACACAGCTATCAAGTCAGTTGGCCTGTTTGCCTGAGTGATTTTTGAAAGAATTTCTGTTCACCTTCTAAATCCTGGCTAATTTTATGACATTGCTTTATTGATGAATGTTTGATGACAAGCTTCCTCCACCCTCATCTGGAAAAAGCTATGGGATGAAAATTAACCATAAGGAAACTATTGAGACTGGCTAAGCCATTGGTAGATAAAAGAGAGTACTTGAGCTTGGAGAACAAACTCTGCCAGGTTGTTTGAAGGGAAGGAGTTTTAGACACTGGAAATTCCCCAAGCAGGGAAAAAAGGAAAACAGGTAGTTGCACTTTACTTTTAAAACTTGGGTGGGTAGACGCAAAAGGATGTTTTTACAGAAAAGAGGAACGCTGGGCCATGCTTTATTAATAGAAATGTTCTTTGGGACCTCAGGATCAGGTAGGGAAGAAGGTATGGAGCTTGAGGAGAGAGGAGACTGACTGTGTGCTGCAGAGACAATGCTGTAATGAGGCAGGTGCGGGACTTCTGGGGTCCTGTAAGGATACTGGGTTTTTCTCTAGATCCATATATCTCTTACACTACCTTGGGCAGAGGGGAATTTGTTTAAAAGGTCTGCAAAATCTGTATGTTGTGTGCTCCAATGAGTATGTGTGCCTAGCATTTAGAGGGAAGGCTCTAAGCAAGCGGTGTCTATGGAGAACCTACGGTGGTCCTGGGGCTGCAGGCATCTCTACACAGAGGAAACGTGGATCTAGGACGCATGTCAGGAAGACTGAACAAAAAGTGCTGAAACCTTCCCAGATCTGTAAAGCCTGATAAGTAAAAGTCTAATGAGAAGAATTAGGGAGGGCTCTAAACCAATGAATGAGAGGAATAGAGTAAGGGTTAGCGATGACATTTCCTTAAGTTGCAGGTCATACTTTTTTTTCCTTTTTTCTCACCTTCTTGTGCTTTCGTCAGCTGGGTTCATCCCAAAGATATCCAAATCTTTCTTTGGCTTCTCTGGGTGTCGGCTCAGGAAATTGTCCCTGTTCTTATGCAGATAGTTCACCAAATCACCATAAAAGCAGTATTCAGTGATGATGTAAATAGGACCTGACGAAATGAAGTAAAATAATGCATTGATGAGTGGGATCTTTCAAAAAAAAAAAAAGACGCCAATAAGAGTAGAAAATAGAATATAAAACATAAAAAGTATTGGGGGTTAAAACATTTTTATTTACTAAGTTATGACTGCAACTACTGTCAAATATCAAGTAGTTTTGTGAAACCTTTTATTTGTTTATATTTATTGTTAAATTCTTTACTTGACATTTGAGTGCTTGTTAAACAGTGAACGATGGCTCCGCAGCAAACCTCCATTTTGTCAGCCAAACCCACCTGATTTTGTACAAGCTCCAAGCAGATTCACAATATTCAGGTGGGGCCCGAGATGTGTCATTATCTTCAGTTCAGACATGAGTGCCTGTTTTTCACTGGATCTAGCTGTAGCTGTTGAAAAAACAAACCAGCCACTCAGTGAGAGCAATCGCCTTTTTCACCATAACAAATGATCTCTCTCTGCTTGCCTCGTTAGAACATTTCTACCATGGTTTCTTGAAGAAGACTGTGTCCTTTACTTGGCAAGAGGATTTCTTAAGACTCGGAGAGGAGTCGCAAATCACTAATAAAGGACTCACTTGATGCAGCTCAATAGCTGACCCAGCCTGTTTGTCCCTCTCCAGGAGTACAGTGGATTGCCCAGGTGGCACAGAGGCACTTTACAAGCTGCTCTTTTCAACAGAAGCAAGCTCCTCATGGTTCCTGGGCAAGTGATGCAAACCAGCTCCATCCACACGGTACGTAGCATCTGGACCTCAGCAGAGAATACCTCATTTGCAGCCAACACAGAGTATTCCCTGGATACAACCTGAGATGTATGCTGTGTGATGCACCTAGTCATAGTGTGATGCTGGGAGCAATTAGCTTGACAGTGTAGATGCACCGTAGGGCAGCCCAATTGTTGGTAAAAAAAGGCCACTCAGGGAAATGACCACAGCTAGCTATTAACACTTCTTGATGGCACCTGATAGGTGAAGTGACTCCTAGAGCACAGGCAGATAAAATAAAGTAGAGCTGTCCAGTGAGCTACTTGGCTTCATACAGCAAGGCTAATTGGAAGCTGGATATTCAAAGACCTGGGGACCACAAAATGACAGTCAAACTGCTCAAGCCTTTTGACGACACCTTGCCCAACCTCCATTTGTAGTATCCTACACATGTAAGACCTGTAACGTATCATCCTCATAATACAACACTAGACTTGCGAAAACCCCAGAATTAGTTCTAGTGTTACTTTTCTCACCCACATCTCACCATCTAATATTTCCGTATGCTTGGTATTCTTTTCAGTGTGGTTGATTTTCATTTCATATTCCCTCCAGAATCACTGCATCAGATTCTCAGCTCTCATGAACTGGGAAATCTTCAGTGAACTTAAGATTCTCACATGAAACCTGCCTGTTTCTGCCCTGTTGTGTTGCTTTAATTTGTTCACACACATACATGGTTATTGTATCTTTTTCTGAACTTGCTGAGTTGTCATGGCTGCTATGGTCCATACAGCTAAAACCAAAATTTGGATGTTTTCAGAAGCCTGGATACTGCCTGAAAAAAACTGAAAACGCCATGAAGCAATCTAAGATGTAATTTTAAATTTCAGTCATTCCACAGTTCATTTTCAACTTCAGATGTGGAGAAACTATTTATACACAAGCAATGCTTAAATAACCCTATAGGAACATGCACTACCTAGCTTGGGAAATGGAACCGCGACAACTTACGTTTCAGCATTTTCACAGCTACTTTCATCACCGGTTGAGAGCGACTCAATCCATATGCAGTCCCTTCAACTACTTTTCCAAATGCACCAGAACCAAGGATTCGACCTTAACACAAGGGAGAGCATTATTTATTTCAGAAAGTAACAGCAATTGGCCTCATTTCCCACATTCCTCTGTGGGTTGTGATTCTTGTGTGGAAAGAGGACACTCGCTTAGCCAGACCACTGGTATTATTATTATTACTGTTGTTGTTAAGGAGAAAAGGCAAATATATTTTAAATAAATGCTGTCATTAAGTACAATTCTTAAATAAAAACAAGGAAGCAAACATCAGAAGCACATCTGCACATGGGAGCTCAACTCATGCAAATTCGTCTCCTACCCTGCCACCTTCACTTTATCCTTTCTAATCATTGATTCTCCTACGTTTAAGTTGACCTCTCTGCCTCAGTCAGCACCTGACTACAGTAGAGTTGTGTTCTTTACTTAAAAATCTAAATTGGACTCCTTAGCTGTAGTTTCGGGCTGTTATATTAATGCTGGATACATCTAGCAGTAAGATAGACTGAAGCACATCAGCAGCACATTTAGAAATAGACAGGCAGGACCATCAGTGATCTGCAAAAAGCTGAAATACATGTTGATCACATATGAGGGGAAACTTCTCTGAAGTTTAATGTACAAGTGTGTTTCATATGCTTGAATAAATTTTATTGCAAATTTCCAAGTGCTGTAATGAAAAGGCTAATGTTTATACACACTTTACTCTTCCCACAAATCAATTTAGACAAAAATTTTGGATGATTGTATCCTGTCTCCTGATATGGATACAGTGTGCAGAAGAATTGCGTACAGATTGAGTGAGATTTTAGAGAAATATGAACTGCACAAACATACTCCAAAATACTATATTTCATAGTTTCCATACTGAAGAGCAAGTTCATTAAGGCAATACTTACTCAGTGAACAAACCGTATATGAGCTCCAGATGCCAGGATATTTTCATATTCCTAACAAGCTCCCTGTTTTATTTTATGTTACTTTTTAACTCCCAGCACAGAAAGAATAAGTAGTGACTTCTACTACGGAGATTTACCCATACGGCATTTTGTCTTTGACAGTTGTTTGCAGTTTGAACTTGCTGCCTTTTACGCTTCTGAAGGTGTTATCCAGCATGCACTGCCACATGTTTCTGTTATCCTCTAGCTACAGCCCCCACTTTCATTGTATACATGCTTTTAAAAGAAAACTTCCAGCCAAACAATATCTACATCATTAAGAAGCACAAGAAACGGTTAAAGCATGCTTAGCTGAGTTACCACTGAAGAACTTCTCCAAGACTATGACAGCGTAGTTTGTCATGCACACAAAAACGATGTGATTTCTTTTCAAGATTCCTGTGCTCCAAAGGTTATTCTTCCCAGTCAGGATGTGAGAAAGCTTCCCACTAAATTTCAGACTAATTCAAACAACCTGAGTCTGAAATTTGGCCCCTGAAACTTTTCAGACTGAAGGTCTGGGAGCCACATGGCAGGATGCAGCCCTTCAGAATGTGATGGCATTTGCTGATGCTCCTTGATCTTCTTGTCTTCACAAGCCAATTCCTCCCCAAACCATATTGTCAGCTGAGCACGAGGTGCACATCTCCCTCTCCGTCACCTCTGCTGAGCAGCGGTGCATGTGGAGACGGTGAGAGCGCTTCCGGAGTGGTGGGGAGCAATCGCTGTTGTTTCCCCTTTTCACCCCTCTCCGCAGACATAGCCCAAGCCCCATGTGTTTTACACTTGAAATTTGGAGCCAGGTGGGAGCTGACTGCTTAAGAGCTGGAGGCATCTGTAATGCCATCACATTCTTGATGTCGGGGCCTTCAGTGGAGCCCAAAATTATAGCATGTGTTTACATTTCTTAGTATAAAGGCACCGCTGTGAACTGCCCGCTGGAGGAGCAGCGCTGCTTCTCCACCACAGAGGAACTGTGCAGACACAGCAGCTCAAGGCTCCTCAAACTAGTGGAGGGACAACGCTTGGGGGTGAGAGCTATTTCAGCCTCTGTACCCATCCACAGAGCTTATCTGCTGAGCCTGTCGGAGAGGTGCTGTTTTTCTGCTCGAGGGGACACAAATACAAAGGTGAAGTCTGTGAATTTGTTCCAGACACAACCTTCTCAACTGGATGCTTCTTTGGCTAAAATTGAACTGGGATGATCAGCCCACCCCAAATTAAATCATTACTCTCTTGGTCTATACCAGAAGCCAAATGAGTGACAAGCTTTATAATCTACATCCAGTTTCTAGACTCATGAGAAATTAGGTACCACATCCCTAAATGCTGTGTAACTTGAATCTTAACTTGCCTTTTGCAAATGGGAATGGGTCTGATTCTGTCTCAGACCAGTATTTCATTTTATTAAGGCCACCAGGACAAATGGGTGGCGTGATGGGAGCAACTCTGCTGCATCTTGACAGCCACCCCAAGACCCTGAGAAATGGCAGCACTCAGACCCTGCTCCTTGAAAGGCCCTGCCCTCGGCCATCTCAGCCGAAGGAGGAGGTCCAGGTCCCACTGGGACCTCGCCGCTTCTCAGCAGAGCCAGAAGAAGGCAGTGGCATGCAAGCAGCTCACTGCGCTATTGCATTTCTCATTCTGTTACACATCTCCCAGTCTTGCACTGGCTGCTGAGCGCTTTAAACAGCAGCGCACTACATACATTGTGGAGGGGTGATAGCAAAGGGAAATTTGCAGTGTAACCCAAATTTATCAATTGAAACTCCAGCCAGCCAACGTTCAGAGTTGGCATTTAACCCAGCGCTGCACTCCAGGCACTACTAGCTAGAAAAACAAATAAATGCCAGCTGGCTTACACAGCTAGGATGGGAAATGCTCGTCTGAATGAGCCAAAATGAGTCTGTATCCTGCTTCAGAGCCTCCCTGAGCTAAAAGTGTAATTGCTTTGCTGCCATCTCCCACTTCAATAAGAGAAAACCCACACAAACTAGAATTATCAGCCCCAGAAACAAAGGAGGTCCCCACCAGCAAGCATTTCATATGGCAAAACTGCCAGCAGGTAAATGTTAACCGTGTCAAGAAGAATGATTGTGCAATCCAGATCGCTAAAAGGACATAGCATTAGTTTTTAAAGCACTGACTACCCTGAATATACTTGTAAACAGGAAGGCATTGAAGCAGGCTGGTGCTCATGAGTCAGAGGGAGACAAAGTCACAGTGGTGGTCTGTTAACAGCTCAGATCTGACAAATCCTATTTAGGCATATAATTAAAGTCTGGGTTGTAATAAAATAATTCCATTAAATATCCACCCTCCTTTAGTTTTCAATTAGCAACATGAATTTAATTAAAGGATATCATTCCTGAACCAGAAATTTTGTGCTGCTTCTTTCAAGAATTAACATCAATTCTTTCTCTGTGATGGGGGAAGGAGAACTACACTGGGGGGGGTATGTTTCTTAAAATATATCAAACAAAAGTCATCTTTAGTCTCGTTCTCCTGTATTTTGTGTATAAAACTTGGTGCTCAGATACCTCCAAGAAAGGAATGCCTTGTGGATTTAAAGCACTATCTGGATAGAACATTAAAATTGTCTATAATCATTACATTTTCAATTGATATAAATGATAGATTGGGCCAGCCCTGAAGAAGTAATTACTAACTGAAATCTATATGAACTCCAATGCACGGGTAACAAAGCAAGAAACCAGAAGGGGAAGGAAGAAGGACAAAAGCCACAAAAATAAGTTACGCAGTTACTCAGCATTGATATATGCACATTGTGGATTAATACTTTTAAAAATAATAAAGCTACATAACAACTTGCAGATTTCCCTTGGCCTCTACACATTAAGTGTATAAATGCCTTGCAAGTAAAGTATGTTAATGTGTTTCTTGTGGGTGCCTTAGCAGAAGTGAGTGTTGAAAAGGAAATTTAACGCTGGGAGAGGCTGCCTAAGCCATGTGGAGGTGGGCACTGCACGCGGGGCATGCGGAGGAGAGCTGGAACAAAGGCGTGGGAGACACTAACACAAGGAGCTCAAGGCTGACACCACTGTAGGGGAAGAAGAAGATGTGGTAGGAGAACTGAGGAGAACAGACAGGTACAGAGAGGCTCTGGACTTCATGGCCATGAGTTACATCACAAATCCCGGTAGCAGAGACCTCAGGGTTGTCCTTAATTGTCCTTCTCCCCAGAGAAGGATGGGATTAGTCCCTTAGAGGAAACTTACCAAGCACTAACCCGTCTCGAGGAAACTCCCATCTGGAGTCATAAGGCAGTTGCATTGGGTCCACATAAATGTATTCGTGGCCATCAGGGCTGATAGACTCAATGACTCTCCATCTTATCTCATACCTCGGCTTCTGCAAAGCGCGTTGAACGCAAAATCAATCATTAGTCCTGTGCCTGACTTCAGAGCAGACAAAAACCCAGCAGGGCTCAGCATCCAAACTGAAATACTTTTCTACATTACCTGTTTCCATATGATGACCAGGACAATCAGTGAAATTATCACAATCACTAACAGCACTAAGACTGCAGCAGCCACCGTTAGTTCTGATCGCAAGGCTGTGGAGTAAAAAGACAGACCATATTTTCCTCCTCAGCCACGAGGAACGTGACACACACATAAGACACCCACCTCCCCTACCATCGCAGTTCCCGTGTCCTGCAGATGTGGCAGGAGTAGTTCCTGGGGCTGGTGACCGTAAAGTCTTTCCAAGCCCAGAGCTGCACTGCCTTCCTGTTTCAAAACCAAATGCAGAGATTGTCTAGAAGAACATCCCATAGCCAGTGGCCATAAAATGACAAAATGAATCATGGAACCACATAATAAGCGAAAAACAGATGCACCATAAAGACCTGTAGAATGCCTCATCCTCAGATGTCCCAGGGTGGGAAAAGAATCCATTTTCATTTATTTTTATCTGCAACAATCCATATTTTTATCTACTAAGACTTAACTGGGGTGTGTTAGAGAGGGGTCAAACTGGCTGCTGTAATTTCACGGAAGAGCAAAGCACACTCACTGGGAGCCACAAGCTTCAGTTCCCGAGTAACAGCACCAAGGTCATTCCTTGCCACACATCGCACAGCCAGGGTTTCCTCTACCTTCTGGAAGGTCACCTGGCTTTCCACCATGTTTTTCTCATCCAGGTGGGCTTCCATGTGTATATCAGAGATATTGTTAGTCAAAAGAGTCCATGAGGTGTCATTGCTGCACCTGCAGAGAAGAATAACAGGGGAAACAGGAGTTTGGCGTAGGTATGGATAAAGAAGAGAGAACAGAACAGCAATCACCTTTCCCTATTTCTTCTGACAACGATCATTTTAAAGACCAGAAATGCTTAAGACCACCTCTGTGAAAAGCCTGCATCTTTCTTCCCTCAGAATAGTTTGTCTTATGATCCTCGTTACTGCTGCCACTTTGAGGGCCTGACAATACAGCCCAGCAGGTCTGGTATAGATAGACCTTGGTGCCACTACGTATCCCATAGACTTATAGTACTCGATGGATCTCTATTTCCCCCTGAATCCTTAGTGCTGTACAAAGCTCCCTGGGGCAGGGCTAGGAGGACAATCATCCCACCAGGCAGGAAGAGATTTTAGCGCAATGAGAGCAGAACACACCTGGGAGGTGCCCAGGGCTCCTAGACTTCTTCCATGCATGGTCTCCCTCTCCCTGGTGGATAACCTCCCAGGGAAAACCCTGCCTCCCAGCAGCCACAGAAGGAGCCAGTCTAGAACTAGCGAAAATTGGAGTAATTACGCCACATGTCTAAAATACTTTGAAGGTGAAAATTATAATTAGGGAGGAAATAATTACAAGTGAAAATTTAGAAGCATGCAAGAGTGTTAATGAGGCAGACGGAGCTATCTGTGAAATGACAAGAACTCCCTGGTTGGAGGGACAGCTACTCCTTGAGATCCTTACTCAAACTGGGACTGTGAAATCTGCTGAGTTCACTTATTGAACACAAAGCATTTATGAGAGAAACCTCCTGAATCGATGCATTGTGTCTTCTCCTACAGGATGCAATAGGAAGGGCACTGACAACCTCTCTCGAAATATAAGCAACATGCCTCTAAAAAGAAAAAAATTATCTATAGCTTACTGGGCCTTGATGTGGAAAATGTGGTATGGTAACTAATAATGTTAAGCTAATCAAGGATGCAACAAGTCATATTTTAGATAACAAAGCACCCGCTTTTCTTACTTTTTAATGTCCCTGCAAACCAGCCATTCCACATCAGGAAGCGGGGTCCCCTCCGCCAAGCACCTCACCGTCTGCCCCCCTGCAGAGCCATGGTGATCATCCACAAGGTCTAAGATCAGGGCTGGAACTGGGAAGGAGACAGGAGTTTGTTAAAATACTCATCAGGGTCTACAAATGCAGCCTGAAATTTCAAATAAACCAGGACAGGTATTGTTTGGCCGACAGCTTAGCAACATCTAGAGACCCCGACTCATCCAGGAGGTCCTTAACTCCTGTAGGACAGAGCAGATCCTAGGCTAGACCCATGAAAAGGAAGTGCTGCGGTTATGCCACGTCCTCATGTCATACTAAATGAGCTATCGTCCCCACTGTCAGCTGGAATAACTTAGGCGAGAGGATAAAGTTTCTTTTTGGCTTAAGGCCAGAATTGAAGTGAAAGCCAGGATCAGGGTACGAGAGCTCCAAGGACGCGGCAGGCACGCACTCCTCCGGACACCCCAGTTCATGCCTTTCTTATCTCAATACTCCAGGGAACCTGATGTGTAAGTGGATCAAGTCTTTGCTCTGTGCCCTCAGTTCTGGTGGGCAAGGCTTTGGGGGTCCTTACCTTGTATTAGCAAGGAGAAGGTGTATCTTTTAATCTCATCTTCATTTTCAGCAACCAAAGTATAGTATCCACTGTCTTCTTCCTTGGCCCGGATCAATTTTAATATACTCTGAAACCTGTAGAAATGAGAGTTTTTGCTTGTATTTTTAGGGCAGGCATAAAAAAAAATCACTTTGGTGCAATATGTAATTGGGTATGTGAAGATTATAATGTAGCAACATTTGGCATTTCTAGCATGCCTTTACACTAAAATCATTACTCAAACAGCAAATAACTACCAAAATACAACTGAGAAACAAGTGGGCATAGTTATATTTTACAGGGATCTGACAAAGCCTCTGATATTATTGGAAACAGCTAGAAATTATTGGCGTGGAGACATGTTGGAGGGACTGAAGAGGCTTAGCGCTCAGAAACCAAGATTTCTATGGTTTGGAGAGGTTGATGTTATGAAGGGAATAAGAAGAGGCAGATTAGGCATCGCCCTTCAGAGTAGAAAACAAAGAAATTATTTTTAAATGCCACTGAGGAAGAAGTAACAAACTGTGGTGGAAAGAGAGAGCAGGAACAGTGCCTGGGTTTCTGGGGGAGAAACTCAAGTCAACATGGCAAAGTAAGGATCAGAAGAATATTTTTACCTTGTTTCCTGGACTCTGTTTGAACTAGTAACAATCTCGGTAAGATTTTCAATCAGAGTCACGTTATCCTTCAACCAGTACATTTTTGGAGCTGGGTATGCCTGCACATCAACGACAAAATTTTTTACTTCATGTAGATTGACAGCTTCCAGAGGGCTAAACTGAGGCTCCAGGTGAACGAACCCTTTGTCTGTAAATGAAAAAGCCTTGCGTAAACAATGCTGTGCAGCATTTTTCAAGAATGGTGTTTTCCAACACGTTAATAATTTTTGGACACTAAAAGCAGACTATACCATGAACTGTAATGACTACTTTCTTATTTTCCTTAACCTCCTTGGTTGCATGCCGAGCAGTACATTCATAATCCCCTGTGTCTTTCACTGATGCCTCAGGAATGGTCAAGGTGTAAACCAGCTTCTGCGATGGGACTTTGATATCATCAAGTTTTATCAGACCTTTTTCTTTCTGTAGTTTGGAGAAAGAAAAAAAACCTTACTTAAGTAACTGAGCTGAAAGCACACCATTGAGGATCTATGATGCCACTGGAGTGACAGCAACCGTCTAAACCGGCAGAAGACTTGTTTACTCAGTCAGGGATGTATTTTTCAGCCACAGGCACAAAAGATGTGTCTATAAAAATACACCTTTTGGGGGGCAGGCACAGAAGGGTGAGGCAGTTGGGAGTTCATATTTTGTTCACTCTAAACAAAATACCATTCAAAATTTGGGTGAGCAGCCCAAAAGAGTGTTTTACTGCTTACACACTACCTTCTTCTCAGACATAAAAGCTGTGGGGTTTTATTTTTAATTTTATTTGTTCAGATCCCATGAAATAGGGTGAATCTTTATCTCCTCCACCAGACAAAAAGTAAGCAGTTGCTAGATGCTATGTTCTGCTTGCTGTCAAAACAAGAATAATTTATTGGCAAGGAGAAGACTGCTGCGAGTAAAAGGGTGGTGAGAATGGCAGACCGTGTTATCATGAGAGGCTGGAACAAAAAATATGCTGCGGATAGTTTTGAAAGGTGGCATATAGCAAAGATTATACTGTGTAATGTGGAAAATAGAACAAAATCTTCTCAAATAATTTTTCCTCTTGGGCTTTTAACTTACTTAAATAAAAGCTGAGATTGGGGGTCACAATTAGACAGTTATTTCAACTACTCCATCCCTTCAGTGACCAGACTTTTTACATGGGATACTCTGAAATTCTCCATTGAATGGGACTGGCTCTAATCAAGTTTCACTGAATAAAAATTTCCACTGCAGAAGGACGTTAAGCCAGTTTGAAAATTTCTGAGGTTCTCCAAAAGTTTTAAGGTTTTCTTACTAGGTGGTTCTCATTAATGAGTAATTACACTGACTGTAAGAGTCATTTTAATTAACATCTGCATAGTGAGGAACAATTAAGTCTATGAACTTGATTCTTCATTGTCCTCTATTATGCCCAAGAATCCAGGGTTTAAGAGAGACATTTTAGAGGTTCAGACCTCCAGCAGCAGAGCTCTATGCAGATGTCGGACACATTCCTAGATCTCTCTATTTCCACAACATTTCTTTTTTTGAACCAGCACAAGACCTGAGAGACAGCATTCCTCCCTCAGAGGATGGACTCCTAGTCACACCTCACCTTCCTCTCATGCTTTGCATACTTACTAACAGCAAACTCTAACTTTTGGGACTGACTTTCTTTTGTGGTAACCTAAAAGTAAAAGAAATTACTTTGTTTTCTCTCCTCAGCTGTCCTCATTCAGAGAAGACTATTTTACAACCCCACCTTCTTCCCCAATAAGTAACTACAAACATTCAAACAAAAAAAAAAAAAAAAAAAGAGATATTTACCACTTTCCCAGGATAATTCCACTGTAAATTAACCACCTCATTGTCAAAGACCACACAAGTTACTACGATGGTCTCGCCTGTTTTGTAGACAGTTTTAAGAGCTTCAATTTCAACTGGCAGCTGTGAAGTAGCTAAGAGAAAAAAGAGAGAGAGAGAGCAGATTTAGTTTAAAACTGTATGCAGTACTTTCCATGAAAGTACTACTGATTTATACTGATATAAACTTTCTGTATTTAAAGCATGAAGGGTACAGGCATTGAGTTCAATCCCACAAAGAATGATCTATGCTTAAAATGTCAATTAGAAGTTCCTATCTCAAGCGCCCCTGTGAAAAGGCATCCAGTATAAAAGTAATTTCCCATTTTGCTAATCAGTGACTGTCTGTGAGAATCCGTTGCTGGCCAATAAAACCCTGGTTTTCAAAATATTTGAATCATGCTGTTTTTCAGACTACCCGAGGTCCTATGATTTGAAGCCACTGGGAAACACCAGTGTTTTAAGTTACATTTCAGCAAACAGGATGAAAATACATGGATTACAGAAGACTTTTCTTGTAACCATTTGGGAGAGGAGATAAGGACCCTTTATTATCATCATAATTGTACATAACCACTAATTAAACTAGCAACTAAATAACTAGCAATACTGCCACAGGAGCAAGGAGCTCATCATCAGGGAAGTATCTGATATAACCCTGTGATGCTGGTGCTAACATGGCTCTTACAGTGTGAGGAAAGAACTGGGCTGAACATTATTACTACTTTTTTTTTAAATGAACAAAAATAAATACCTCTTAAAATATAGATGAGGAACTCATCAGACTTGAACTCCACGCCTTTAACCATTGTTTTGCATGTATATGAGCCCGCAGGGAAATTCCCTATGAAGCCTTGTTTGCTGTCATAGAAAGCATAGACAGCCTTGTCCAAACTGTTAATTAAAGTTACTTGAGCTTTTGGGTCACTTGTCCGACAAGGGATAACGGTGGGATCACCTTCTTCGACTAGGATGAACTGGTCTTCTGGTATAGAAGGAACAAAAGGCATGTCTGGGTCTGTAAAAAACAAGAGGTAATCAAACACTATCTTGTTTGTAGTAAGTCCACATACAAGAACTAGATATCAATGACCGCTTACAGATCATATAAGCTAGTACAGTTCATTACTCCACTTTTTCAGAGGTAGGGCATGGTAATTGCATGCAGTATCTCATTTTTGCTATTTGATGTGACATGTAGCGAGGCATTTGACCTAAGCAGTGAACAGGAAAGGGCCTGGGCTCCTTTGTGACAATTCAGGATGCAGAATGAAAAATACAAAAGATTCCCCCCAAAAAAACCACTAAGCATTATTATTCCCCTTAGACCTGGTTCTGAGATACTCCTACAGTGAGGGCAAAAGGTTATTAAGTGACAAAAAGCAAGAAAATCACTAGTGGGTGTGAAAACATTCATGCAATTGCTGGGGACTAAAGTAAAGACAAATTCACTTTATCATAGGCAACTCTATCAAGATGTATGTACAGCAAATATCTTAGGGGAGAATTTGGACTTAAACATCCTATTTTTATGACACAAGATTTTGCACTTAGGTGCAACATTCACTGCACATAAAAATTTATTAAAGATCCTGCCTTTTATTGGCACAAATCACTCATCTTCTTCAGTTAGATTTTTTTTCCTTTGGTAATAGCAGCTGTCCCCTAACCAATATTTAAGCAGGAAAAAAACATAAAAAGAAGAAAAAATCCAAACACTTTCAATGTCAAAAGTAGAAATTAGCTTCATGTTGTTTATGTTTAACACCATTAAAGCCACATTTCATCAAAAATAGTACAAGGTACTTATCTTCATGCCTTTCTAACATGTCCAACATTACAGTTATGAGACATAGTTAATTATGGTCACAGCATGTGATTTTCAAAATATGGTATTCAACCAGAAAAAAAGCAGACAAACACCTGGTAGTTTTATTTCTTTTAAAGTCAACAAAATACATGCCAGCTTTCCTATCCGGCCAATCCAAAGTCTGAGTTTAACACATAATTGCATAACATATCCAACTTAAAAAACACAGCCCTCAAATGATCTCCGTTTGGCCATTCGGAATAAACAAATAAATCCTGCTAGCCTGAAGCTTCTGTGTGAACCTTTATAATAAAATTTAATAAATAGCAATCCAAATCCCTCCAACAATAGACTTTCTGCTGCACTGGCAGGCTCTTTGTAGCAATATTCCAAACACAGCGCTCCGTCCCAAACGCACTGCCAACTCCATGTATTCATTTTCCCACTGTAATTTAAAACAGAAAAAGGATTCACCTAGTTTGGTTTTCTGTGTGCTGTTAGTGAAAATAGGATATTGTGTGAAGTCTCAACATAATCTTCCTTGGCTAAAGTGGGTTGCTGCCACCCATTGCCCTCCTAATTCATTGCAGGAAAAACAATTGTAAAGACAAAGTTTAGAGTGGAAACAGAAACATTCTCTATAATTTGGAGAAAAGGATATGTTTCTGCATTTATGACATCTTGATGGTTAGCGAGTGGAAAAAATTACAAGATGTCTCTGCCCTGCAAATCTGGTAGGCTGATGTCTAGAGGCATTTAAAAACCAAACCAAAAAGCCGTCTTGAAGAAATCTTCCGTTTCTTGCCTTTCTATTCCTTCACTGAGTGAGTTACAAGACTGCTTAACACCAACAAAATCTTCTGGTGATTTGGTTAGAGCTATTTGGAAATCGAGATACATGTGCCAAAGCCTGCAGCCTCTGTTGAAGCATCTTCTTGCTTCAAGAATGAATGCAAAAGCTTTACATTTGTTGTGGGAAATAGAGGAAAAGTCTTGCAAGAATCACTGTCCTCAAATCACACATTGTGAACTGTAAAAACTTAATGCCACTGCAAAATTGCCTTTAAAACAAGTCCCGTTAGTGCTTCCTGACTTTTTCCCCTTCCACAGTCTTCCCTGCAGTTTCAGACATCACCTCCTTCACAACTTACTGCAGTTTTGCAGGATGATTTGCAATCTCTTCTCTCTTTCGTTTCCTCTTCAAAATATTTACTGCAAATCTACTGGCTTGATCTTTCCTGGCCCTGCAGTTGTGCCGCTCATCCCCTGAACCCCAGCCAACGCCGAGGAAACATCCAGACAGGGCTTTACAAAGGCCGTCAGTTGTTGCTTGGCCTCTGCTGCCTCTCTCAGCTATGACAATAAAGATCTTCATCCCATGGGCAGTGTGAAAAGCCTTTAAACACATTTCCAGTCGGAACAAGGGGGTGGGAGGGCAAAGCTGGGGATAGGTACTTCCGAAAAGAAGGGATGCCATTTCTTCTGGGTCCAACAGGTTTTCCACCACTAAAGAGAAAGGCGGCGCAGAGCCTGGGAAGGCTGTGTTTGCTTTGAAAATTACAGGGCACTGCATGGCAGCACCACATTTTTAATCTTGCGTCAGACTGGCCAGCAGTAACACTTCTCGTTTCACCCTCCCTTGTGACAGCCACCCCCACCAAGACATCGCCGTTGCTTTACGCTTCCCAGGCCCTGTGCACACATGAGCTTTTTCCAGTTCTCAGTTCAAACCTAATTTGCGTTAAGAACGAGATATGGCCTTCCTCATCTGGCAATTGCTTTAGTGCCAGCCATGGCACTAGTTTGGTCAGTACACATCCCAAAACATCCACCCAGGTCACCCCTGAAAAGACCAATATTGGTGTTAATCCCCACCCAGGGCCAGGGAAACCTGAAGGCTGGACATCCTCTCGCAGCTGAGCTGAGGCTTACCCTAGCTACCAAGGTCTACTACCCAGCCCCTGGTGGCCAGAAGACCTCAGCTCTGAAGCTGTGAATTCATCCTTCTTCTTGAGAACTAAAACTCTCACAAAAAAAGTGAAAAACAATAGAAAGAAAGAGGAACATACCCTTAGACTCACAAGGGCTGGTCTTGATTTGCACATTAGGAAATGGCCCTGGGGTCACTTATCTTTCTCTGACAGCAAATTGCCACCAGCAGTATGCTTCTTCTGAGCATCCACGGTTCAGCCCTCCCATCCAAACCTCCGAGTACGGCTGTGGCAAGCCCCACTTACCAGGCACATAGATGTAGATGTCCTTCCCTTCCACTTCCCCATCCTCCACTTGAGTGTGGTTATAATAGCAAACATACAAGCCCGTATGAGCAGCTGAGGCATTTCCTACTTCGAGCACCGTCACGAAGAGGCCACTGTTGTTTTCTTCATGTCTAATGTCTATCCTGTGGCTTCCCTCGGTCACTGGGTACTGCCAGCTCACTTCGCTGTCTCCAGAGCATTTGAGTGTGAAATTGGAATTCAGCTGTACCACCATTTCATTCCTATTGGGAACAATAGTCGGCAGAGGAAGCTGGCAAAATGTTAGGAATGGTCCTGCAAAAAGACATGAATAAATAGCACATGAACACACAGAATAGCCTCAGCACAGGGATGGGAAAGAAAGCAGAGTGGATCCAGAGCAGCTGTTTTTCTGACCATTTCAGAGGTGCTGATGTCCCAAGAAATTTGCCCTTGTTAAAAGCCAGAGCTTTGCCCAATGGATGGCAAACAGTTTCCCTTTGAAATGCTAAATGTTTGCTTGCTGACTTCTGCTTGTCAAATCAAGAGGTGAAAGACAGAGATGAAGTTAGAGATGGCTCCCAATCCACACCTCAGCTTCCCAGCCCCAAATGTGGGCATGGCTCTGCTGCAGACCAGTGAACCCCACACCCTGACTGCTGGGTCACGGGCATCTTAACAGTCCTTACAGCAATGGTCAGGAAACCAGCAGTTCCATCAGCGTTCAAGTAAGTTCGCAACTGAAAGTTAGAAACCCCTTCCCAAGACCAACACCTGCATTTTACGTCTGGCTTCTATTTCTGCAAAGGGCCGGAGCAGGGGCTTAGATCCAAAATTTGTGCACCAGGCCTACCTCTAGCCAAAATGTACAGAAGGTTTATAGCCAAATAAAACTGTAATTCACTGAACTAGATGTTGTAGGTGGCACTGGTTTTCAGATGCAATATACAGTTAGAGGCTCAGATTTGCAAGCCTAAGTAATTTGTAGGTGGGCTGGTGCAGGTCCAACTCCCAGAAGGAAAATTAGAGGATCCACACCCTATGCCCCACAGAAAAGAACAGGGAATTCACCAGGGAAACAGATTTGCTGTTTCATGCTATCAAATGACCTGTACAAAGCAGATAGGGTAGTCCGCGATAAACAGGCATTTAGGCCCTTGGCGTGAAAGTGGGCTCTGTGCAATAAACCGGCAGCAGGAATCCAGACTGTCTTTGAAACCAGTTTCTCGCTCCTGCACGTGTTATCTCAGTCTACAAGCCCTTTCTATATTTGGCATCCTGTGGCAAACCCTGCCCTTCCCTCCCGGCACCATTCACTTGGCAGATGTTGGGAGGCTCGGCAGGCAGCCCCAGCGAGTGTGGTTCGGTGGTGCAGCGTGGGAGGATGCAGGGAGCCCACACAAGCAGCCTTGCCTGCACCACGCTGCGGGAGACAGCTGTAGGTAGGCAGGCTCACTTTCCCTGCGCAGGCAGACAAGCCAGGCAGGAGGTTATAGCAGCTGTAGGGGTGCCAAAGTGGCCGGCACAGGCTAGCAAAAGTACCGTCTTCTCGGCAGTTCTTTTTCTTAGCCTACCAAAGGGACGGCCAGAAAAATCGAGCCTGTAGCCAGCTGGCAACCATTTGGCATTTGTTATCGTGGGCACAATGAAAGCAAGCTTAAATAAGGGTTTACAAAGGAGTAGGGTTAGAGAGGCTTAGAGGACTGAGGAACATTACCTGTGAGAAAACATCCCAGGATCAGGAACATCCATGGGGAAGTACCCATAGCTACCAACAACTGAAACAGAAAGGAGAAGGCAAGAGGGAGACAGTTAATGGACTGACAACAGGAATGAGAGTTTGCAGGACCCCTCTCCTGCAGTGCCTTAGTTCAGCTTCCCGGCACTCTGCATGGTGCCACGGAGACAAACGGCCCGGGGACCTCAGCTCGCACCCGCAGCCCGTTGAGGTGCATGCAACCGCGTCCCACAAGGTACATGGGGCCGCAGGCACGTCACCGGCACGGGGAGTGCAGCTAAGGCACCATAACCCCTTCTCTCCACTGGCAGCGTAAGGAGCCAAGTCCTGGCGCATCGCTCTCTCAAACAGCCTGCAAGCAGCCCTGATGCCCACTGCAGCCTCCGGGACTGAGCCCACAGAAACACCCCTGCACAGAGGCAGTACCCTCACAACATCGGTGAGGATGCAACGGCTTTATGCATTAAGTTCTGGCCTTTTAGCTGCAAGTAGCTTTTATGGGAGAAAAAGCATATTTAAAAGCTACTTTTATTACAAATAGTACAATCCTGAGTGTTATTTTTGTTTTGCCATTGTACATATGTATATATATAGCTTACTGAACACAATGCAACACAATAGTGTTTATTGCTTATTTAGCAAGAATTCCCTTGATCGAGAGACATGCTATTTAAAACATATGCTGAAATTTTCTAATGGAATAAATCCATGACACACTGTAGGCCAGCACTGCCATTCGCAGAGCATCTCTTCTCCCCAACAGTGTGGAGAGTCACAGATCACATGCAATAATTTTAGCTTTCAAACACATAATCTTAAGGCATCAGTCTTAAAAGAGGCAGCAGTGGCAATAAGCATCTATGTAATTTTTGTGCCATCTAATGACATTTCTACTTAAAACCCTCAAGCAGCCTGCTAGATAATTTCCGAAGGAGTGGCTCCTACAACCCTTGCTCCCACTGAAATTAATGGACGTTTTGTTGGTGGCTTTAATAGTAACTGGATTTGGCTCAAAGCCAACATAGATTAAAAAATGTCTGCACGGAAGAGCCCCTAATCTGAAACACAGACCAAGGAGTAAAATAAAGGATGATGTGCCAAGTCAGGGACTACTTTTCAAAGGTTCTGGAGAGTTTCTGTTCACCCTCTGCTACTCAGCTCCTGATGCTGAGATAGGAAAGCACGTAGGTACATCCAGTTATTACAACCATGCCAGTGCTGTATGGGAGTTAAATGCTTACAACATGCCAAGGGGTGTTTCTGAACCAGTCCCTCTTTCCTCCCGCAGTGGAGGAAATCAATAAGAATCAATAAGAATCAATATAGAAATCAATAAGAGCTGAGTGTCTCAATCTACTGTTGCAGTTTAAAAACACAAGGACTTAACTAAATTTGCGTTTTCCAGCTGGCTATTCCTTCACAACCCAGAGCTTTGATCTTTCCTCAATGACCCGTTAATCTCATCAAGGCCCAAAGCAACACTTCCTCACTGTGAAAGACAGAATAATGTACTAAGGATTCACCATCACCTGTACTCAAAATCTCTTTGAATTCAATTTAATTATGTCGTGCATCAGACTTAAGCATGCTGGAGTCCCATCTCCAATGTATCCTCATACATCAGTGCTGGAGTCAAGGTTTAATGCAAGTACAATTTCACACTTCTGGGCAAAAGAGATTTTACTCGTTCCCACAACACCCAGCAGGTATGCTTATCATGTTTTTCTTTATTTATGATCACCTAATTTTTTTGTATGCACTTATTTGCCTTTTTTGCCTTCCTTATGACAGAGCAGCCCTCTTTGTCCTAAATCACCCAAATCTCAGCCCTGAATAAATACACCAGGTTCAGTTCCTAACGCCACTCCATCAAACCATAAATTGGTATAACCCCACTGAAGCCAGTAGATTGATGCAAGCTGGAGCCCCGTATTGACAGCACACATACAACGTAAGTTTGAGCCAACCTTAATTCCTTGCATACCTTGAACGTTGCTAGCTAAAATAGAAACATGGGCGTGTATAGTGAAAGCTACATGGTGCCATGAAGGGTTTGGCAAACTCTCTGCAGAGGAGGCTGATTGCCCAGGGTAAAACAGTCATTGCATCTACTTTAACCACTGGGTTTTGAAAGGATCCAACTGAAATTTTGGTATCTCTCTTGTGTGCTTTAGTGATAAAAAATCAAGAAAGGAACATCTGAAGAACTGTTATCAGCAAGGAGTCAATCTTCTAAACACACTGCCAAGCGCTGGCTTCCTACCAAGAGGGGTTTCATTGACTGCACTGTAGAAGACAAAGTAAAATCAATATCCAGAAAGGTGATGGAAATCTGTGTTTAGAAAATTGCTCTACATGACCTAGAGAGAAAGCACCGTGGTCGACCAAGAAGAGCCAGTGGTATATATTTTTCATACTGCTGTAAATCAAACAAAGACCTCTTTCAAGACAGAAAAGTAGCCCATCTACCAGAAGACTGGAGACTAACAGACTTGTCTCCTGCCAGCTACCCAGTCACTACAGTTCATCCTCTTGGCCACAGGATGGCAATGTTGATCCACATTAATGAGCCAAATTTCTTGTCGAGCACACGGACGCGCTAGTCTCCAACGTAGCTGATGGAATCTAAACTGAGCCTCCTGGATCAACTTAAAATTCAAATTTCTTATACTTTAATTTCATGCGAGTTCACCGATTTAAAAAAACAATAATAAAACCAAGCTGGTCCCTATTGCTCTGTATTTACGTAAGGGATACGACAGTAGTTGGATTGCAAATCTTGGCACGTAATGATGTGATTATCCTTGTTATGAGGGGGCTGGATAATTTCAGTGGTGATTTTGTCAGAGTGGCAGTCTGTCCTTCTGGGAAGACTGATCTTTTCCAGGAAGAGCTAAGGCCAGCCCAGGAAAAGAGGGGAATATTTCCTCCTTGTGGTGTATGTCACTAGCTGAATGTAAATGTTCAGACAGGATCTCCTGAAACATTTCTTGGTTCTCAATTCCCAAATTGCAAACTCAATTCTCTGCAAGAGCAGAGCTGCCCTGCAGTGCTAATAGGCGGGTCTGAAGGTTTCACTGGGGAAAGGCTCAAACACCACAAGAAAATTTCTTCAATGAAAAAGACTGGCATAAATGTTCTCCTAAAATAAGGCTTGTTCCACATCCCTTTAAAAGTATTTGCATCCAGAGTAGCCTGTATGCAGGAATAACTACACACCAAGTCTAGCCCAGTGTTGGGCTCCTGCAGTGCGCTTCAGGGTCTGCAGGACACGCAGTGATGGCTGCTACCCAAGGAGCCTTCCAGTCAGCCCCAATTCTTCAGCCTCAAGGACAGACTCTACCAGTCTAGGAGCTAAAGGTGGGGGGAAATTTGCAAAGTCTAAGCTTCCCCACTCGGTCCAAAGAGGATTTCCCGGAGTGTCTCAGGAAACAGACAAAAATACTGGCACTTCCAAGGAATACATCTCACAGGTTCTCAGGATCAGATCAAAGAACACCTCAAAGCCCAACTGAAGTGTTCAGAAGCATTGCATGGAAAAACCAATCCATCTCTGTTGACCTCAGGAGCTAGGAAGCCTAGCTGTTGCAAACTTTTCTTTCGGGTGCCCATGCAAAGCTTTATTGACTTGAAAGAGATGAGTCAAGCAGGAGAGCAAGGCAAGAGGGAGAGAAAGGATTGTTTGCTTACTTGCTTGCTTTTTTTAAATTACAGCAATTCTTGCCACCACTAGGAAAAATAACCTCTCAGAAGTCATTCCCTGGTCTTTAAAACAAGGGAAGCAAACGTATTCTATTAAAATTTTCAGAGTTCACATGCAGAAGTAGTGCCATTGTGGCCATGATGATCTAAGGATGCAAGCAAGGCAAGGATTGTGTAAGGTTATACATTTTACCCTCATTCATAGACCAACTGGTATAGCTGGAAATAACCAGCAAGGTCCGGGGTATGCAAGACTTTTTCTGTCTATATACATTGTACTCAAATCCTAGCTCAATACTGTAGTACTGCGGAGAGGTATTTTATTAAAATATTTATTACTTCCTGCTTTCTTGAAACCTAATACCTATATATTACCCTCACAGCCGCATGAAGATTTCCCATACATCAACAAGCAAATAACAGCAAAGATGGCCCCAGTGTCCGATGGCAGGCAGACTGGCACACCTCCTGCCTCTTGGTGCCTGGAGAGGAGCACCAGAACAAGAGGTCTCATTTTAAAGCAGTGGGAGAGCGCCTGCAGGCTGGGAGAGCTGGTTTGCTTGCAGACTCCTAAATCCCAGTGCTTTGTGCGGTCCCATTTTTCTTCAAACTTTTTTTTCCAAGCTTTGAGGTTGGCTAAACCACTGTTTAGCTGAGGGCCTTTCTAAAATGCTCTTTGTTAACTAGAAGCTAAAACCGAAGTCCCTTGCTGGGAGATCTTTCCCTAGTGTTTCTAGACCCAAAGTTAAAAGTCAGATCTCCACAGTTCAGATTTTGATCAGCCGATGACAGAGGAACCTTTGATGCCTGTCTCCTTGCTTTGATCCCATCTCTCGCCCCATCCAGGGACACGGAGTTAAGGCAGCCGATCTGGGACCACAGCTGGGCTCTGCATCGGCCCTGGGAGATGCCGAGGGCGTAACAAGCCGCCCCCCTTCCCCCGGTGCGCCCCGTCGGGGAGACAGCGGGCTGCCTACACCCAGCCGGGACTGGGGTGTGGATGGTGGGAGGGGGTTACATTCACACTCTCCAGCCCCCATCAGACTGCAGGCGCTTGCCAGACCCTGCCTGCCCGCGGGGAGCCCAAGCGGCACCCCCCAGGAAGAGGGGAAGCGGCGCTGCCGCGGCTCCCCCTCGGTCCGCGGCCCCTCAGCGGAGCCCGACGGCTAGAGCCGCTGCGGATCAAAGGCTGCCCGGGACACCGAGCAAGCCTAGCAGAGATGGCAACTCCCAGCCACTTCGCTGTTTGTCTGGGAAACAATAGGAAAGCCTTTGCCAAACTGGAGCGATTTTTTTTTCTTTTTTTAATGCGAGGTAGCCAGGAAAAAGAAAAGCGGGGTAGGGGAGACGGAGAGGGGCAGAGCGAAGCCGTGTTTCCCTCCGGGGCTGGTTAATTCTGCTGGCGCTGCGCCCCGGGGCTTCTTCTCCAGCCCTCTCCGTCGGGCGAGACACGGCCCCCGAGGGCGCGGGGTCCGGAGAGGGGCCGGGAGTCTCGGCGGGGGGGCAGACGGTGGTGGCCGCC